TATTGATATTAGAGTGTGAGAAAATACAACTGTTTAACAGTGAGTTGGACTATCTCTATAAAATAAACTAAAACTTGAACCTGGAGCTTTGGTTTCTTATGAGCAGAATATTTTACTGTTCAAMTAATTAACTTCTGGAGTCAACCCAACTCAAAATGGCCGCCACTGTTAACTAAAAATAAAGAACACAAAACCTAATTTTACAGATACTGAGCTTAAATTTTACGTCATTGCAGCTGACAGTCATTAAAAGAATACTTTGAGCAATGAGATCTGCATAAAAATGAGTCATTTTAAATGTATAATTTGTTATTTCACAACATTAAATAAGTTTGAAACTCTGGCATAAAAATGCAAAGTTCATATCCTTTTAATTCTCATAAGTTGCTATGACTACAAGCATCACGATTATGAAGCACTATGCAGCTCATAATGTCAACTTTATGTATCCTCCTAAATCATATTAAATAGGTGAAGAAAAACAGAGAGGTGTTTGTAATAGAAGCACATACATTGACTTACACTGAGGTGAGGATGTATATTATTGCATCATAACGATGTAATAAATAACCAACGGTGATCCATCAGTCCTGACTGAGTCACTAACTGTCCAGCAGCATACTTTGATTTTAAGTAAACATACAAATAACCAACAGCTCAGGGCGTGTTAAAGAGTGCACCACTGCAGAGGCATTTGTTGATGAATAATTGAACACTGCTGTTAGTCAGGATAATGAGAGTGTTTGCAGGATTTAATAAAAACAGACGCCCCCTGTTGGCGGAAACACAGATTACAGGTTGATGCCTAATTTAGGAGCTCTCTTTTCAGCACCACAGATGGACTGAAAAACAAAAATGGCCACAGGTTGTATTTTTTTTTCTCTAATTAATTTGCGTGACCACTTACGTTTAACAATTAATTTTCATTCATTTTAGCTTGGAAGCACAAATCAAAATGTGCAACTTTACAAAAAGGATTAGGATCAGGTTTAGTTAGATGTCAGATTTCGTATTAATCACCTGCTGCCTAAAGGTAAAAGGTGAGAGATAATATTTTTTACTTGTGTCTGTGTTAACGTGTCTGTTAGCAAAATATCTCAGGAACGACTGGGCAGATTTTAATTAAACTTCCAGAAAGTAATCTCTGAATATATCTCTACCATTCAATAACTTTTGAAGCCAATCTGTTTCCAGATGTCCGCCACAGCCAACTGAATTTAGAAAACACAATAATGGCAATAATTTAGCCATTTTCCCAGATATTGAGCTCAAATTTGGTGTGGTAGTAGCTGAGACTCATAGCCAACGAATGTTTTGATGGCTACAAAATGTGCAAGACATTTGCTCAAAAATGTATTAATAACAATTGACATTAACCTTATTTGTCTGTTAGCAAAATATCTCAGAAACCCCTGGGTGAATTTTGATCAAACTCTCAGAAAGTAATTATTGGATGTCCACCTACAACTGATTAAAGTTGGGAGTCAACCCAATTTAAGATTACCGATACAGTTAGTCTAGCTTAGCAAACACAGGAATGAGTATATCTCATTCAATTTTCTAAGTAATGAGCTAAGATTTGGTGYGGTAGTAGCTGAGAGTCATCCTCAACACATATTCTGTGTGTGATGTTACAGTTCTTTTCAAGGTGTCATTTGTCATCAAAAGATTATCTTAGTTTAAACCACTGGAATTGACAGCGRAGGGCCATATGCATTTTTTTTTTCAAGGAATGTTGGACCTTTCAGGTGCAGAGAGCTGTGATCAGATGGGCTGTTTGGCARCAGTGTGATGTTACAGTCAAAAGGACAAAAATCCCATCTGACAGATTGAAATGAAGGCAAAATAACTCCCAACAAATAGATTTTTCTGTCAGTGCCAGAGGGCCATACATTATCTACAATATCTCTAAATCAGTCAGCATTTTAGTAATTTTTTTCTTGCTTACTTTAAAGAGGTTCTCATTATCTTAAAAAAAAGATGGCCATGTCTTTTTTTGGAACAAATGTGCTCAGTTAAAGAATTAGGCCACACTTTCCGCGGCTGCTGTCACCGTCTCTGCAGACTTTAAGCGGTGTGTGGATCTGCAGCCGGAGCCGGTGCTGCC